GTATCTCTTCTTAAACTCTGCTGCAAGCTTTGGGATGTCTTCATTATATAAGTGCATACTGTCGGTATCCTGGTAAAATATTTGAAGACCCATGTCCTCTGCAGTACAGAATACTTCATTCATAATACGTTTTGACATAGACAGAATATTAACACCAAGTGGACAGAAGTTAAAGTGTCTGCAAATGCTTTTCGTTAGCTTGAAAATAGTTTTATCTGAACCATCCAAACCTTCGAACTTCACTATATGGTTGTAATTTCTTATAGCATATCTTATAGCATCTTTGTCATCTACTATGGTTATTTTTGACTCAATAGGAGATAGAATAGTTTTGCCATAAATGCTGTTCAGAATGAGTTTTATAATTTCTTGTAAGGGGTTTTCTTCTTTCTTATACTTTAACCTTAACTCAAACAACTTCTTTACTTCATCTCTTATTCTCATATCTCTGTTTCCATCGTAATAGTATCCTTGCAACACTTCACATTTGACACCTTGATATTTTATGAGGTCTTGTAATGTTATATGGTCAACATACATGAGACAGCAAGTGTTTGAACTTCTTGGAACGTTAAGTTCTGATTTAGTTCAGGGTCGCAAAACTACTATTAAATGAAAGTGTCTGGGTATACCAATCTCTGTTATTTAATGAGAACAAAGAAGCCAGACATAAACTTTTCACCAATGGGTTCCTTTTGGTCATCATCGAATAAATGTCTCATGAGATACTCTGTGTTTAACATTTCTTCCTTCAATACTTTTGGAATACCTTCTAAAGTATAAAGTCTTGCTATAGCTGAAGGATATAATGAAACAGTGTCGAAGTCAGCAATGAGTTTCTTTTGCTCTTTTTTTCATGTTATCTGACAACATACATCTTCCACCTTGAATGCATCTCGAAATAAATTCTCTTGGTTTATTTGAGAGGTCATAAAGATTTCCATTCGGGAAGTATACTCTGTTCTCAAACAATTTGTTAGCAAATTGAACAAATACTAACGTAGTCATAAACGTTTAAATCAAACTCTTTCAATAAGTCATTGCGGAACTTTACAAAACCTTCTCTTAAAATTCTTACATCTTGTTTGCCAGTAAAACGTGCTATATTTTTCTAAGTCGAAGTGGTTCTCATCTATTCTGCAACCTTTGATGGAATCTATGTTTTTCATAAATGTATCTGCATCCCGCGATAAACTTACATGCTTCAGAAATGACACCAGTTCTGTTGTCATTTGCTAACAAAACACTGCTGTAGTAGTTATATGGAAATACTTCTTTCGGTCCTGTTTGTAAGTTAAACATAGCAGGAAATAGTTTAAGCTTCTTATTTATTAACACTGTAAGAGTCTTTTATAATAATTGCCCGTCCTTTATATAAAACCAGTTATTTGCATTGTTCGTGAACCTTTAATGATGGGAGTTCCTTCACTTCTGTCATGTGTCTTAAGATGAAGTTTATGTCATAACTGAGGTTGTGAAAATATATTAAACTCTTGTCAGGGAGTCTTTCCAAAAAATTCTGTTGCACAGTTTTGACCCCAAATGCTTTCACTCACTGAACCATCTTCACTGTCATAACAGATGTTAAAAGCTTTATGAAAGCCATCCGTACTACACTCAAAGTCAGCAAAGAAAACGTGCTCAGGTATGAATTTACATTTAGCTTTATTTACTTCTTTTGACTCTGCTTTCTTCTTCAGTTGTACACAATACTTTGGCAGATATGTCAAATCTTTAAATGGTGCAAGGTTCTGTTTATATAAGTCAGTAGTATATGTGAAAAGTTCTCCATAAGAAATAGGTTCGAAATATTTGCACTCCCACAATGTTTTCATAACATCCCATAACGGTGTTGTTCTATCATAACGAACTACATATTTATCTTCTCTCTTTGTATAAATCTTCATCTGTTTCTCAATGTTCATTCCACCACAAGCTTTGAGAATTTCTTTATAGTTTCGAATGAAGTATGTTGTCATTGGAAGTCTTTCATTTAGCATGTAGTGGTCTTCAACAAGAAGTAAGTCAATAGTTCTAACAGTTTCGCATTCTTTTGGTATATATCTCTTTATTTCATTATGTCTTGAGTCATTGAAATAACCAATGGTAACATTAAATGCTATACCTGTTGCGTCAGAAATTTCTTGTACTTTACTTTGAGGAAAGTCTCTAACACGAATGACTTCTCTCATGTGGTCAATAGTTTCTTCATTTACTCCAGCCTGAATGCAAGCATAAACGAAACAATTGTCCTCTGTCATAAGTATTGCAGTTCTTTTGTTCAGTTCATTGAAGATTTGGTAGCGTTCAAGATTTATAGGTAATGTGCAAAGATACTTCCATAACTGACCGCTTCTCTTCTTATAAAACTTCTTTTCACCATTATCTTTCCAAAAGCTTTCTATAAGTGCTGGGTTTCCTGTTTGCTTAAGAGCTTCCAAAATGGCTTTCTGGTCATTTGTCAGTGTGCTTTCATCTCTATATGGTCTCTTTTTTGGTTTGCCTTTCTTTACATCTGACATCGTTAAGCCTTCATATTCTGTTAAATCATACATCTTTATTTCAGTAAGATTCTTTATGTTTGTCAAGAAGAAGTCATAGTGCATTTCAACAATACCTGCAGCATTTGCTTCTATCTCTGATTAAAAGTTCTCCTTCAAGAGCTGATGTAGTAATGTTCCAATATTATTGAGGTTTAACGTAGAACATTCATACTTTCCACCAAGTTTATAACATACCATCCATCTTTGTTGCGAGTTTATTTTATTTTCTCTAAGAGTCTCATGAAAACCTTACCGAAATGTTTGTGTAAAATTCTCTGTTTGTTCATCTAAAGCTTCGATGTTAAAGTCAATGAGTCTATTGCCTGACTTCACATTTCTCTTCCTATTCTCTTCATCTTTCTTTAACCATCTCTCACCTTCTTTTGGTTTGTCGTCAATGGAACGAATGACATCGTTAGCTTTGCGAACTTGTTCTATAGCACTTTTAAACATCTCTCTTCTCTGTTGTTTCAGTTGTCGTCTCTTCTTCTTGTTTCACCAACGTTTGCATTTGTTATGTCAAACATTTCTTGACGAACATCATGCGAAAGAGCTTTACGAGTATGACCAACGTTCGCATTTGTTATGTCAAACATTTCTCTTCTTACTTCATGAGGTACTGAACGTCTATGATATAAGTCAATAGCAATGTCATTTAAAGGAAATGCTCTTGCATGGACTTCGTCCTCGCCGCGTTGCGGCTTTATGAACTCATGAATTCTATCATAACTTATTGCACCATTGTAGTCTTTAATGAAGTCAGCGAGTGCTTTTTTGTTTGTCGCGTAATGTTTTGCAACATCTATATTAGCTTCTGTAAGAAGTTGTTTTATTTCCGAGTGTTCTAACTTAGACAACTTCCGATACATCTTTAGTAGGAAATAAAAAAAATATTTTTTGAAAAAATTAGATTACATTTTTTTTAAGTTATTTTTCAAAATAATTTAATATTTTTATTTTAATGAAACACATGCAAGATTGCAAGTTCTTTTCATACAATGCTCTCGCTACTGCCATCAAGAATGAGTTCAATGGTGCTTCAAACGTCAATGTTATCTTTAACAAGAAGTTTGTGAAAGAATCTAAGTTCGGTCAGTATGTCAGACCATTAGCTATTGTCATTGACCGCAAACGTTATACTTCACAAGAGTTAGCAGTAGTTTTGAAACAAAAGGGTTTCTTCGTGAATGTCAAAGATACTCATTATACTGTTATAAAGAACTCCAACATTGACTTCTTCAGTATTGCTTTAAATCTTTCCGAACAGAAAGAATATAAGAAGGGTGAAATAAATGTGAAATATTATCCTTCATCTCTGAAGACAATAACGAACAAAGATGTTATACAAAAGTTCTTACCAAAGGTTGAAGAAGCTTCTATTGACATTGACGAAGGAAGTGAAATGGTTGAAGAAATTGACCCTGAAGCTATTTAACCAAAAATATATTTTTGGTGAAGAGGTGAGATTTCACCTGTTTTTTCACCTCATTCTCTCTTCGTTAATGTTGTCGTGACTTCTTCGTTAATTGTTGTCGTGACTTCATTCTTCCTCTTTGAAGTTATCGAAATATTCTGTTATTTTTTCCTTCAGTAATGGTAAGTCTTCTTTGAAGGTAAGTATTGTGCAACCTTTGATGTCATAGTGTGTTTGAGGAAGAGTATTTTTGACAATTTCTTTTATTTGCTCATTCGGTGTCATTGAAATCGGTAAGTTTTCACGATAGAACCAGTTTCTGTCAGATTTATATATTTTAGCAAGGTCGTAAAAGCTTTTGTTGTTTCTTCTGACTAAATGCAACATAACCATATCTTTATCTTCTTCATTCTCCAACTCTTCAGTATAAATCATATACTTATAGTTCTTTTCCTTTCCTTTTGGTACTGAACGCGGTATTCTTTTCTGTATGCTTTTGTCTTTGGATTCAATGACTTCATCTTTTGCTTGAAGTTTCTTTTCCATCTCTCCACGTTCTTGTCTGTGAAGTTCGTCAAGAAGTTTGTAAATATTCCAAGCATAACGTGGTGAAGCCCACATTGCAACTGCATTTACTAAAAGTCTATGAACATAATATCCTCTCAAACCGTTTGGCAAATTTTTCACGGTTTTCGTACGGAATCTCTTCTCTCGGTTTTCCGAGGGAAGCAATCATATGAGGAAATTCTTCTAAAAGTTCTTTTGTCTGTTGGTTTTCAAACCAATGATATGCTTGCTTTGTAGAACGAAGAGCATTCATTATACTTTGCATTTGGTACATGTCGTCTTTGACAGAACGAATGAGTCTCAATTGTTTGTTATACTGTATGTATTCGTATTCTTCATTTATGACTTCATGGACTATAACTGTTGTTGTGTTCTCTGATGTTGACATTACTGTCTTTACATACAAGATAAAAATTTTTGTTAGAAAAAAATTAGCGTTATTTTCTGACTTTCACAAAAGACCAAAAATAAACGCTTTACATGTATTTTTCAGCAACTTCGTCAAATAATTTTATAGCTTTATCTATCTCATCTACTTCAAACGTTTCTTTACCTTTCGTGGGAGCACCATACATTTTCTCAAAAACTTCAAGCAGTTCTGTTTCAGCAGCTCTCATATCATTAACGAACACAACCTTGACTCTATTGACTGTACTGTCATATCTTTGAGTTATATTATATGTCCTTCCTATCTTATATCTTTTTGTGTTGAAGTCCTTCGGTTTCTGAACGATGTAAAGTAAGCCTTCACTGCAACGTTCTGAGTCGAATGAACCATAAGTTATGAAGTTATATCCAACAACTGGGTCTAACCATAACAAAACTATTGGTATAAGACTTTTGTCTATAAGATATGCTCTTGTTCCATGAAATGCTACTGATATCATAAGCTCAGGATTTCTTGTCAAAATTTTCTGAGTTGAAGCATTTCTAACCCAGTCGTTTGTTTTCTTTTCAGATGGAGATATAATGTCTGACAAAGAATATTTGTTGTATTTCTTTGAGTATCTTACGTTTAAATCACCTATTCTAACCACTTTGGTGTCATCGTCTATCTTTCTAACTGTTTCAAACTCAATGTTTGTCATTACTGTCTTTACATACAAAATAAAAAAGATATAAAAATAAAATTAGCGTTATTTTTCTAACTAATGAATTATTTTTGAAGAACTGATAGGGTCACCAGGTCACCAGGTCACCAGGTAATTTAACTTTTCTGAAAAAATGTGACAACATGACATTTTGACAACATGACATTTTGACAACATAGTGGGATTAATGAGGAAGGCATTTATTCATTATTTTTGAAGAACTGAAGGTGTCACTATGTCACTATGTGTCACTCGGTAATTTAACTTCTCTGAAAAATAGTGACAACATGACATTTTGACAACATGACATTTTGACAACATGACATTTTGACAACATAGTGGGATTAATGCAAAAATAAAGTTTATGTTAGCATGTTAGATCTCACCCGTTTTCTAACCACTTTTCTAACATCGAAGAAAACTATTTACAAGCGTTTTACATGGTATATGTTGCGATGGTTCATGACTTTAAACAGTTTTGTAGCTTCTATTTCTTCACGAAGGATATCAAAAATTTTAACTATGCCGAAGGTTTCTTTATATTTCTTCTTGACATCAGATAATAGGAAATCGTCAGCAGTTGGATAGTTTTTGTTCAGAAATGTCAACATATCCATTTTATCTTCTGCTGGTTTCTCTACTTCTTTCTTTAAGTCAGCATAGTCGTTTCTCATACGTTCTATCTCTTTGACAGAGTAGTTATATTTCCTCATTGCTGCTTTACATTTTGAACATTGCGGATTCATTTTTGCGTTATACATTGAAATTTGACCTGCTAGAACAACTAAGGCGTCAATGGTTTTCTTTAACTCAAAAGCTGCTGGTTTTAACTGTTCATGCCATACCTTACCTCTTCTATCTTTATCTCTTATTTCCCAAACACATTCAGCAACTAATGAAACAAAGTTGTCGTATGTCTTAAACTCCCCAGATTTATATATGTCAGAGATGTTCTTATATACCATGTCGCAATCTTTGTCCATAACTTTATGGTTGCAATGATATCCTAGAAACTCATAGTTTACTTTACGTATGAACTTCTTTATTTCTACTGAGTCAGCTGGTTTCACTTCTATTTCATCGAATTCATGAATAGTGAGCTTTTGTTGTTGGATTTCAGGCAATTTGGGTAAATGGTCAATAATGTCCTGCATGTCATAAAGATACTGTTCATTTGTTTCATCTTTCGCACTACAGTCTAAATTACTTGTTAAAAGTTCTTGCTTAATTCTTTGTATTTCTGTCTCAAAAGTATATGAAGAAGGAATGAAGCTTTTCATCTCTACTAACATAGATGTTGGATTCATAACTAAAGAGTTTGGTGAAGTTGTTGTTTGAAGTGTTGTAGAACCTATTGTTGAAATCATATCTTTACATACAAGATAAAAATTTTTCTTAGAAAAAAATTAGCGTTATTTTTCTTTCATAAGGAAATGTCAAAAATTCATGATTTTCGAGAGTTTTAGACCATGTTAGAAAAGTGGTTAGAAAACGGGTGAGATCTAACATGCTAACATAAACATGATTTTTGTTCATGGACTTCGTCCTCGCCGCTTCGGTCTGAAAGACCTCAGGACTCAAAGAGTCCGTTTGCGTCTTTATGACAAAAATAAATGGTACCATTAATAATATCATGACTGTTCTCATTCATGTCTGATTTACATCCAACGAAAAAGTTTAGAAGAATTTTCTTATTCTTTCTGGCATGTTTTTATCTTTCCAGTACTCCCGCTCTAATGGTCCCAGATGAGTTGGTTTAGATTCTCTCAAGTTCTTAGATGGTATAACATCTTCAACGCCTCCTTCATATCTTACTTTATAAGTGTCATCGTTTATGTTGTAGTCAAGTATTTCAATAACCACTCCTCGCTTTGCTTCGTCAATGGTTTCAGCAAGTTTGCCATTACTACTTTCGACTAATTTATGACGAGGGTAAAATGCTATGGAGTCGTCAGCAGCTTTTATAAGATATCCATTACCTTGCGTAGAGTCTACGATATAATAATTTCGACTTAACCTTAAACGTTTCTTTGTCAACGGTTTGTCGTCAAGAACTACACGAACTTTTGTTCCAGGAATGAGAGTAAATTGTGTTGAATTTCTGATATTTTGTGTTTGACTTCGTTTCTTTTGTATATACTTTTCTTCTTGTTGTTGTGTCATTGAATTTGGTGTATGTCCTGTTGTAGAATGTGTTGAGGAATTGTAAACTTCGATGAAATGTTTCATTGTTTCTTCGGTAAAGTCTCGCTCTTGATTTAAATCTCTGAGAGTCCTTATGAAGCGGTTAATGATACCGAGTATGTTATGGTTATGGTCTTCAGTAGTGTAGTGAGTTATGTTATGCTTAATGAGAAATTCTGTGATTTCGTTGCTGAGGTATGCACCGTCTTGGTCTGATGTTAAAATACTTGGGCTATGTTCTGCTACAAACTTTTGTAAAACTCTTAACACTTCATGAGTTCCTTTATTTCTCATTATATACGCAAAAGCTTTGCGAGTGTTAACATTAATGAAGATGAGGAATGGTTTATGTCCTCCTTTTCTGCTTTGAATGAGAGTGTCAAATTGGTATGCGTCAGGAGTGTTGGAGTAAATTGGTAAAAAGTAGTCGTAAGGATTTATTTTTGTTTGATGTACAACATTTTTGTCAAAGAACCTTTTCACTTCAGCTCTGTTAGTAAATCCCGAACTCTTTGCAGCTTCATTGAATTTCTTAAAAGACCTCCATGGATGTTGTTCGAATACTTCTTTCAAGCTCATTTATGTAAAGTTAAAGATTTTAACCAACTCGTATCCAAGCGTGCATTGTTATATAAGGAGGCATATAATCTTTTCCATTACCTGCTGGGTCTGTAATACCAGCTACAACATGTGTATGATTTCCTGCAGTTCCACAGAAAATACCTGTGCTAACATCTTTGGGGTCATCTGAGATATCATATCTATTCATTCCCTGTCTATTCGAACCCGCTGCAAGATTTATATAACCTCTTTTTGTTATTGAATGTGAATGGTTTCCTTCCACAGATGTTCTTCCACTGAACCTATGCATATGTGAAGGAAGGTTTTCAATACCTATTTTCTTTGAACCTCCCATCTTCATTGACTGCGTATTAGTGTAGAATGGAAAACTGTCAACTATTTCATACCATCTACCACCAAATAAAGTGTTTGGATTTATTGGATTCATAGACGTATAAACAGCTCCTATAGGATATATTAAATCATATATGCTCATAACTCTATAAACATATTCTAAAGAACTTATGTCATTAAATACCATTTGGAATGTATCTCCCGGATGAAATGTTGCATTTGTTCCACTTTTATAATGTAATGTTAGTTCAATAGAATTATCCAAGAAAAATTCAAAAGTATCTGGTTGAAGACCTCTAACAAATTCAAATGGAGTTGCTGGTTCACCATTTATAATTTCTGTTGTAAATGTCATTGTATCTGGTTTCGAAAATTTCTTTGTTAGTTCTGTATCCACATAAGTTTTGTCGGCTTTACTGTCTAACATTGCTGGTAGTTCATATGCTTCAAAGTTTCTGGCATGACCTTCGATATTCCTGCAACTCTTATCTAAATTGTTAAGAGTATCTTTTACGCTTGTACTCGGATTCTCTAAAGGTGCACTTGAACCCAAATCATAGTTCAATATTATGTCGTCTGCTCTAACAGTAGTGAAGGATTTATGTGTATGATTTTTGTCGGCTTTACTGTCTAAAGAAGTTTGAAGTTCATTTATATCGGAGATATTGTGTTTATGAGATTTCAAAACTTTGTTCGTTGCGTCAAGTTCTGTTTTGTCAGCTTTACTTTTAATAGCATCTTCAAAAGTTATTTTTGACTTAACTCTCAAAGTAAATCTTGGTTCAACTAATACACCGTTAACAAAGAAGTATGAAGCATAAATTTCAGCGTTATAACCAAATGATTGTGGTGCTATACCTGTGTCATACTGTACAGTACAGTGTATGTCATAACCTTTAGCACGAATGAATTTATATCTTCTTTCATTAACATTTTTCGTATTCACTTTTTCACCCTGTGTTAAATATCCATGATAGTCCGTTATAATCTGTTCATCAGAACTTATATAATGAACATGGTTTTTGTCTGCTTTATTGTCTAAAGAAGTTTGAAGTTCATTTATATCGGAGATATTGTGTTTATGAGATTTCAAAACTTTGTTCGTTGCGTCAAGTTCATTTTTGTCCGCTTTACTATTTAATGTAGCTTGAAGTTCATTTATATCGGAGATATTGTGTTTATGTTCTTTATCTGCTTTTTCGGCTAATTTCTCTTCTATCTCATTTATTTCAAGTTCATGCCTACCACCACCTCCCGAAGAAGTATTTTTCTTCAGCTCTTGAAGAACGTCCACTTCGCCATCTTTGGTGTCAATAATGAGACTTTGAGTTAAAACCTTTCCTGTCTTAATGGATGTTTGTAAAACTTCTTCTTCACCGTGTTCGGGGTCATGGTCGTCGTCATATCTTGTGAAATCAGAGATGTTGTCATACATTAAGCATATCTGTCTCAAAAGTTCTGCTATTTGAATTGGAACGAAAGATATACAGAACTTTCATCATCTCCTAAAGTCAAGTCTGCTTTCTTAAGTATTTCTTGAATGTATGCAATGAGAACAGAGTACCTTGGAAAATATTCGAACAATATTTCATTAGCTGTTGGTTTTGGTGGTTCTTCTGGAGTTTCTGTTGTTTCAGTTCCTTCTGAGTTCTTTGGAGTTTCTGCATCTCTTGACTTCAATGCTCTTGCTCTCAAAGACCTAAATGTTAGAGCACCGGGTTTTACAAAGGACTTTATAAATGCTTTAATAGTTCCTGGTAAGTTATTGTTAGCATTAAGTAAGTTCCTTATGCTTCCATCATGTACGTCCATAGCACTATGTAAAAAATCTATACTTTTCTTGTAGTCAGCAATAGACTGACTGTGATTTTTTAAAGATTTGTCAATACCTTTAAGCCAATCTTCATGCATGTCTGATACTGAGCCAAGAATATCATTTGCTTCCTTTAGTGTATTTTGTGCTTTTCGTAAAGTATCCAATCCCGTACGTGCATTGTTTGCTATACGTCTTACAGTATCTATTTGACTCCTTGTTTCTTGCATCCAACCAGATAAAGTTTTAATAGTATCCGAACCATTTGAAATGAAGTTCAAAGCATTTTTAACGTCATCTAAAGCTTCTTCACCAAGTACTGCCCATATCTTTCCGATTTGGTATTGAAGAACTCCATATGAAGCAGCTGTTAAACCAGTATTTATAAGGTCCCATATCCATGATTTAGCAGTTTTTCCATCCTTTCCATCCTTTCCATCCAAACCGTTTTCGCCTTGAGGTCCTTGTATTCCTTGAGGTCCTTGTATTCCTTGAGGTCCTTGTATTCCTTGTGGTCCGGTGTCACCCTTCTCTCCTTTCAGTTCATCTTTATGTTCGTTATAATATTCTAATGTCATAAGGTGTACATCATTACTGCTACCAGCAACTCCTAATATTTGTTTCTCATTCATGACTAAATTCTTTAGGCATTTAATGTGTCGTCAAATCGAAAGCTCTTTAACAATTCAATGAGAACATTCAGTACTTTCACTAATGAGGCATCTACTGTAGAATTTATATATTGCACCGTTCCATCATTTATGATAGGAACTTTACTTATTGTAATGAATGGGTCATAAGTGTTAAAAGTATCGAAATCAATGACTTTTTTAGTTTTTCCATCGTCAATGACTAAATCATTGCCTTCAATGGTTAAAGTTGAGTTTTCGTTTACTAGTTCATGTGCTCTTCTTGCTTCATTTGTTTCATACGCATATGCAGCAATAGTCATATTTTAATGAGAATAAAATGTTGTTCTATTTGCAAAGTACTGACCCAAACGAATACGGAACAGTAAAGCTACAAACAAACTTAGGTCTTCAGAATGAAGCGCTTGCTTTCAGAGTTGTT